GAAATTCGAATTGCTTACATTCATTATCATACCATCCGATTAATTTTACAAATGTGGGATTTAATTGGATTCCTATATTAAAAGGATAATATTATGAGTATATTTAATATTTAAAAGATTTATACTATTAAAATGTAACCTCAACTAACCAGCTTTAGCATCAAAAATACAAGAGTGAGTATCACCAATAAAATCAGTTGAAACAACCTAATAAATAATAAAAAGACAGGGATGAATAATAGATTAAATTAATAAAAGAAACTGATTAAATTTTAAGTTAATAGTTACATCATCTTCGGTGTAATCAAGAATTCCTTTCAGTTCGTTTTGAGAAGCACGCTTCATGCACGCCTTTATCGTCTCATAATCAGTTTCTTTAGCCAGACGACACGTTAAGTCAACAACGGATACGTCCGATGTTGGGATACGGAATGACATACCAGTAAGTTTTTTATCCAAGGATGGAATAACCTGATAAAATAATTATAATAATAATAAATATTTAAACCATGAATGCAGCATAAATGCAGCATAAATATATAAATACAAACTTTGCCGACGGCTTTTGCAGCACCTGTCGAGCTGGGAATAATGTTTTGTGCTAATAAAAAATAATAAATAATAAATAATTATAACAAAATAAATACAATTACTATACAAGATATTGTAAAATCAAATAAAAAGATAACTAACATGCGCCTCTTCCTCCTCTCCAATCCTATAAAAATGGCAAAATGTAAGTTGATTACGAGTTAATAATAAGAACAAGAATAGTAAATAGCTTTTTTATAAACCATACTTTGCCAGAGGGACCATCAACAACTTTTTGCGTAGCAGTTGTAGAGTGAACTGTAGTCATCAACCCTTCAATGATACCAAATTCATCATGGATAACCTTGGCTAATGGTGCCAAGCAATTGGTAGTGCAAGAAGCATTTGAGATCACCTTATATTCAGGCTTATAGGCTTCCAAATTTACACCACAAACAAACATTGGTGCATCGCTGCTTGGTGCACTAATAATGACCTGTAATAAGGTATTAGTAATAATGATATGTAAATGAACAATAAATATCAAAGAAAATAAACAATGTACCTTCTTAGCACCCTAATAACAATTAGACATATAATGAATGTAAAAATTTAAATGTTGATAGATAGATATATTTTAAAACACAATATACATCAAGTAAAATCAAAACACAAACCCCTAAAATGCAAATTTATACAATTAATACAAGGTCAAAAATGGAAAATTACATTAAAAAAGATAATTTTTAATGTTTTAGAATGTTACCTTTCAAATGAGCAGATGCCTTATCGGTAGTAGTAAAAACACCAGTGGATTCAACTACGTAATCAGCGCAAATTTCGCCCCATTTGATATCAGCAGGGTTCTTTTCAGCAAAAACGGCGATAGAATGACCATTTATGACAAATTTTCCATCTTTTGCCTCTACATGTCCTTTAAAACGTCCATGAGTGGAATCATATTTGAAAAGGTAAACCTACAAATTTGTTCGAGAAATTGTGATCGATCGGCGATATCGATTAGATAATCAGTCACGCAGGGTCCGTGTAACGTCTACGCAGAAATGTTTATAAAACTACAAGAAAATATACCAACCATATAACCAAGGTCCAAGAAAGGGTCATTTAAACCAACGACTTGAATCTCAGGATTATTCAAGGAGGCACGAAGAACAAGGCGACCAATACGACCGAATCTTGATAAAAATTAGAGACCAGAAATTTAATTTAATAATTCATGATAAAAAATAACACTAAATAATAGTTTAAAATAAATACGATACCCGTTGATACCGACTTTAATAACCATTTTATTTATTGTTTTGTATCAAAAAAAAAAAGAATATTTTAGAAGAGGAGGAAGAGTTAAAACAAATAAATAAAATAGTCGTAAAACTAGAGAGCGCCAACCTAGCAGCTCTTTATATATTGCAGCTAACACTAACTCTATTTTTTCTGATTTCTCAGCAGATGAACTTTTATGTTAATAATGACGTCGTACGATAAAGAATGCTTTGTAAGACTTTGATATGCAAGTTACATTTGTTGTCATATTGATATCACTGATCGTATCGTTTCATCAGGCCATTTGTTGACTACGTAATCGACATAAAATACAAAAAATGCGATGCATATTTCTTCTTGTTAGCGATATCCATTATCATTTGGATAACATAGAAAATCTTAAAAATTGGTTAATTCAAAGAAATCGATTCAAAGAGTGGGCTTTACTTCTTTTTCTATTGGAATTAATGCGTAACCATGAATGATTATTTATTTATTTTTCTTATTATTTATTTATTTATTTTTCTTATTACGTATATACAATTAATAATCATAATTCATAAAGTATTGATTTTATTATTGCACCGGGTGACCTTGTCAATGGAGACTATATAACTCCATTGACCACAGAAAAGGTTAAAATAATTATTTCACTAAATATCCGGCGTTACTAAAATGGACCTTTTTTTAAATATGTATAATCCTTGATCTCATTTAAAAGGATGAAATAGAATTTCGTGAAGTAATCGATGCCCTTGAAAATTTTGGTAAACCTTTGTACTATGTACCTGGTAATTTATGATCTTATCACTCTTGTCTATTTTTTGATACTATATACGGTAAATACCGATAAATAGTTGATAACGATAATAATCATATCAGGGAATCACGATCCGGATACTTCTTTTCTCCAATCCGCTTATCAAGGAAAAAATGAAAATTCAAGAGTGATGAATATACACAACAAATTAGTCAACTTGGGTATATGTTTCTAAATTGTACAAAATTTTTTATTAATTAGATCGTTGTTTCATAAAGATAAATCTAATTGATTTACTCAAAGTTCCCGGATTGAGCATGGTGGGATTCGGAGGATCAACTGATGCCGTGGTAAGAAAGTCACCAGAACAAGTTATATGGCCAGGTATTCAACATTATTATTTTCTAGATATATCCATAGATATTTATGCATTTAGAATGATTTGATGATAAAATTTGTGATAGCTTGTCCAAAAAATACTGAATCTCTACTTGCTGAAAAGTTACCAACTCTTCTCGACAATGTCAATGATGAAATTATTTTGGTAACACATGTTGGACCCACCGAAGTTGGAACAACTGATGTAAGCAATTTTCCTTTGCAAAATCCATCTGTTGACTCTGGCAGGTAACAAATAATTATCGAGATTTATAAGATTTGTATGAGATATCATTTATTTATCTTTGTACTCACATGTATAAAATAAACATATAACGATAAATGTATACGTATGTAATCAGTCGAGCTATACGCGATATTCTCGAAAAAAGCACACCATTATCACCAGAAGATTCATCTCAATGTAACATTATGTTTAATATTCACGGCCATACCCACTGTGCTTTTGGGCTTTCGCACCTAGGTCAAACTTTGATAATTAATCCAGGACCTCTTCAAGAAGGTAGATTTGCTATTTTAACATTAGAACAGTTTAATAAAGAAAAATTGTCGATGAGTGACACAAGGTTTTTACCAATGTTCTGACAGAATTAGTTCATGGAGCATGGTTGGATTAGAGTTTTTTATTTTATAATTGTCATAAATACAGATATATAATAAAGCAAAAATTGTAATAATAATTAATAGTGATAACTTATATATTTGATTTGAAATACGTAAATAAAATCCGATAATTCCGAAATTGGACGTGTGAATTTTGGTCAAATTAGAATCTAAATGATAACGATAAATTTTTTTTTTTAATTAACAAGTTTCTCTTAATTTAACGTTAGTATTAACGTTAGTAATCGTGTAATGGATCTGTTTCATATTCTTGGTAACGGTGCCAAGTTCGATAAAAAAAGATTTAATGCTGATATTTCACTTTTTGAGGTTAGCAAATTTCGGAAATTTGCTAATTATAAAAAAGACCCAAAACATTACAAATTTAAATATCTCTCCGCGTCAATAGCCTCAAAATCAAAAAAAACCTGTCAAGAATGTTAATGACCAAGAAGCACAAGCAAATCTTCTTCAAGAAATCGACTTTTTTCACAACAGTAAATCTGCTATAATCGAAACCCTCGGCAAGGAACAATTGTCTAATGAAAGAGTAACTGGATATATTGAAGGTAAAATGTAGCTATATCAAACAAATTCGCGTGAAATGCTAATAATTTTAAACATTTCAGAGCCAAATAGCGATAATTCGAATATAGAGGAGACTGATGATAGTGATGAAAACGAGAATGAGAATGAAACCTCTGATCAAGATGAATCTGCTGAATTAAATGATTTTAGCAAACAAGAAAATGTATGAACATCTAATGTCAAATTCGTTCCATTTTTCCAACAAGTACCATCTTTTCATGCTACATAATATTTAGGTCAAAATGTTCCGTAAACGCCATCGCATTCGTGTATATGGCACCGATATTCCAAACCCTTTTCATTCTTTCAGTGATCTTTATAATATATATGGGTTTCAACCGTATTTATGCAAGAATTTGGAGTCCGCTGGATATAAAAAACCCACACCAGTTCAAATGCAAACAGTGCCAATTATTCTACATGTACGAATTTCTTTGCAATTGCTTCGAATTTATATAATTCATTTTCAATTTAAAATATACCATTCTTCTTTTTAAAGGGACGGGACGTCATGGCGATGGCACCTACAGGATCTGGTAAAACTTTGGCTTATATACTACCAATTTTGCATGATTTAAATAGTCACAAGAAAATAGGCTATCGTGCATTAATAATATCACCGACCAGAGAATTGGCAAAACAGGTACGTTATTATTAGCCTTATTATTGTAGTATTAAATACAAATCTGTACTTAAAATTCATTTTCTTATTACTTAGATATATATTGAGTTCAAAAAGATGTGTGTTGGTAAGAAATTTAAAATTTGCATGCTTACGAAAGCAACTGCTGCCACACAAGCGCAGGATCCTCAATTAAGACAAAAATTTGGTAATTACCTATTTAAGAAAATTAGAATTTATATTTTTTTTTTAATCTACTAATGATAATTACTATTTTTTTTTTTTTTTAATAAGATATTTTGATTAGTACACCTCTTCGCCTTGTTCATGCTATTTCACAAGATCACATCGATTTGAA